CTCTACCCTCGTGTGCTGACATTTTTTTCATTAAGATTTTTTCATTACAAGCCCCAGGCTGTTATTCGTGAGTTTAATTAAGAAGGCTTGGACACATTTACTGCAGTTTGTTTAAGGTATTTAATGATTCATTTAAACAGATATACTGTACTCTAAACCAGTATCCAGCACCTTCATCCCTGCCCTGCTCCTCATCCTCTCATTTTTAATCCATCTTGCCTTGCAGCCACTAATGTAGTTCTCCTCCAGCACTAAATCCTGCGGGGGTTTAACTACTTCAGCTTGAGTGGCGTGTGGAGGGCCAGAGCTGTCATTTTGGCCAAAACAAATCTATTTTCTGTTATTTTTCACTCGCTGATTTGTTGTTATTTGTCCCTGTGTGCTGTCACTTGGTGTCAGGACTCTCCAACTGCAGCTCTCAGTGTTTGGCATACTGTATATATGTGAGTCGAACCAACCTCCACCAGTGACAAGCTGTCAGAACAAATCCTGACAAACAGTCTGAAGAGGATTAATGACAGCTCAAAGATGTTGACCTAATTGAATGTTTGCAGTATATCGAGCCACTTATGTATTTCCTGGAGTTACATTACTTCTCAAACCACCAAGAAGAAACGTGTCCTTGCTGCTGTTTCTCTGTTTCTCTGATCTGTGCGTTTCTTCACCTCCTCCTCTCGGTTTCAGATCTCTCTGCTGAAGCAGTCTCTGGAGCTGCAGCTGTCTCAGTCTCAGTCCTCTCTGCAGCAGCTGCAGTCTCAGTTCAACCAGGAGAGGGAGCTGCTGAGCCAGCAGCTCAAAGGTCAGCTGCTCTAAGGTTTTCAGAAAACAAGACGTGGTTATTTTTGCTCGTTTGCATGAGATGAACGGTTATTAAAAAGTACATTTCAACAACAAGGCAATTCAAAGTGCTTTCGGACATACTGTGATGTATTGAGACATAACAAACCAAAATACATGTTGAAAGATACAGTTGATTTAATATATAACTGTTTTTGTTTATGTTTATGTCTGTGTGTGTGTGTGTTTGCAGAGATGCAGAGAGAGCATCAGAGGAGAGAGCATCGACTACAGGAGGCTCACTGCTGCGCCCTGAGCACCATGGAGGAGGCCCGGCAACACCAGTTCAGGGTAGGACACACACACACACACACACACACACACACACACACACACACACATTGTTTGTCTTCTGCGTTTCAGCTTCATAAACGCAAAGTCAAATTCCCCACATGAAATGCCAAATCATCCTGCAGGTTCTCGTTGTCTCTACCCATTTGTTGATGTAACTGTGTTATGTAATGGTCCTGTTTCAGACCCTGGAGGAGCGTCTGAAGCAGGAGCAGAGGGAGGAGGTGCACGCTCTGAAGGAGGCGCACCGGAGGACCCTAGACATCCTGAGGCAGCAGTCGGACCAGGAGCTGCAGACACTGCGCTTTGAGCTGGAGGACGAGGGCAAAGCCAAGCTGGGTAACTGAGGAGAAACACAAGATTAACTAAGATCATGCATAAAGAAAATATTAAAGATACAAAAAATACAAAATACACATCCTGTAACAGTTCTAAAGATATTTAGAACCTGCCTACCTTTTGCACATAGTTGGTATTTAACAACAAGGCGTGTTATAGTCTGTGTTATTGTGTGGGGGTCTACTAGGGCCCGTGGTGGTTATGTAGTCTGCGGTATCTCTTAAACCAAAGCAGTAACGTGTAATACTCTCAGTGAAGATGCTTTTAACCTGCTGCTGTGTTGATGCTTGTTCCTGAAGTGATGACAACAAGATGCTGACTATTAGTGGTTATGTTTCTACCCATGATGCTGTGGTGTTGCTTGACGTTTCCCCCCCCTGTGTTAATGTTCCCCCCCTGTGTTAATGTTCCCCCCCTTTACCTCAGCATGTCGTTGTGTCCCTGAAGACTCTTCACCCCAAATTGCTCCTGTGGGGATTGCCCAC